ACGATATCTATCTTCACCCCCTGTGCTATCCAAACCAAAGGTAGGGGAGACCCTCTATCTCTACCTTGGGGTCAGCCCGGCAGCCATCAGCTCCGTGCTCATCCGGGAGGAAGACGGCATCCAACATGCCATCTTCTATGTAAGCAAGACCCTAAGGGAGGCCGAGCTCAGGTACTCTCCTGTGGAGAAAACGGTGTTAGCCATCGTTTGGACCGTCAAGAAGTTGGGCCACTACTTTCAGGCTCACCCGGTTCAGGTCCTCACTCATCAACCCCTCGGCGCCCTCATGAGGAGCCCCACCAGCTCCTCCCGCATGGTGAAATGGGCTATCTTCTTGAGCCAGTACAACATTGACATCCGCCCGAGGCCTGCCATCAAGGGCCAAGCCCTGGCGGACTTTGTGACGGAGTGTACCGCAAGGGCAGCCACGGACGGGAAGCCCTCGGCTACCTCGGACGACTGGTGGACCCTCTACACCGACGGCTCCTCCGCGACCAAAGCATGCGGGGGAGGGGTGGTCCTCATTACTCCCGAGGGCTTCAGAGCCTACTATGCAATCCGTTTCTCTTTCAAAGTCTCCAACAACGAGGCCGAGTATGAGGCCCTCTTATGCGGCCTTCGGCTGGCTGCCAACATGAAGGCTCGGCAGATCCACATCAAATGCGACTCCAAGTTGGTCGTTGGCCAAATCTCCGAGGAATATGAGGCCAAGGAGGGAAGAATGAAACATTACAAAGAGGCGGCCAAGAAGTTGCTTAAGGTATTTGAGGCACACTCTCTCACTCAGATACCGAGGGCTCAGAACTCCGAGGCCGACATCCTATCTAAGCTCTCGGCCGACTCCCCCGAGCACATCTCCAAAATTGCCAAAATTGAGGAAATCAGTCTCTCAAGTATCCATGCAAGCCCCGTTATGAACATACAACAACGCCAAGAGGACTGGATCTCGGATATCATCACCTTCATCTGCACAGGGCAGCTACCCGAGAACGAGACCCGCGCTAAACTAGCAAAACTGAGGGCTCCTAGCTATACCTTCGAAGACGGAAGGCTCTACAAACGGTCCTACAATGGCACGCTACTTCGAAGCCTTCATTAAGATGAAGCCGAGGTCGCAATGTAGGAAGTGCACAGTGGCACTTGCTCAGCTCACCAGGGACCCTTCTCCATGTCCCGAAGGCTCATTCTCCAGGGCTACTTCTGGCCAACCATAGCCAGAGATTGTGCTGACCTTGCCCGAAGGTGCACCGCATGCCAACATTTCTAGAAAGCCCCCGGCAGGCCAGCGGTCAACTATGCCCCCATCAGCACATCCATCCCCTTTTCTCGGTGGGGGATAGACCTTGTGGGCCCTCTGCCGAGGGGTACCTCCAACAACAGGTACATCATTGTGGCCATCGACTACTTTACCAAGTGGGTGGAGGCTGAGCCCCTCGCCAGCATCACAGAGGCGAAGTGCCGTCACTTCGTCCTCAAGAACATCCTCACAAGGTTTGGCGTCCCCCAGCAGATCATCTCTGACAATGGGACACAATTTGAGGCAGCCCCCTTCTGTGCCCTTCTGGAGGCATGGGGCATCAAACACACCTTCTCCTCCGTTGCCTACCCTCAAGGCAACGGGCAAGTAGAGAATGCCAACCGGACCTTGCTCGAGGGCCTCAAAAAGAAGCTGGAGGCCGAGGGCGGTGGCTGGGTGGAAGAACTCCACAACATCCTTTGGGCCTACCGCACCACCCCTCGGCGAGCAACAGGTGAAACACCCTTCTCCCTCTGCTACGGTTTTGAAGCCAAAGCTCCTACGGAAGTCACCCTTCCCACCCGGAGGGTGATCCAATATGACCCCGAGGTCAACGATAGCAACATGGCCCTCAACCTCCACCTCATTTCAGAACGCCGGGAGCAGGCCTTCATCTGCGCAGAAAACTACCGAAGGCAAGTCAAAAGCTACATCGACGCCAAGGTTCGCACTAGAGAATTCCAAGTGGGGGACTATGTCCTCCGGAGGAGGGAAGCCAGCCAACCGACCGAGGGAGGCAAAATGGCACCAAAATTCGAAGGCCCCTACATCATAGCATCCATCATCAAACCCGGGACTTACAAGCTCAAACGCACCAACGGGAAAGAGGTCCCTAGGCACTGGAATGTACACCACTTAGTTAAATTTTATCAATAATGTAAGAGCGGTCAAGCCCTCATAACTAGTGAATGTACTATCCTATGGCCCAAGGCCTCCAATTTTGAAGAATGAAGACACATTCAAGACATCAAGAACAAAACACTTATGAGCGGCCAAGTCCTCATACTGACTACAGGCCCCAGGCCTCACCACGAGGAGAACCCCCTCCGGCACCAAGTGCCGAGGGCGGACACCATCAACACCTACGACAACAGTGAAAACACCGTGTGTTTTCAGTCAAGACCCCTCGGTACCAAGTACCGAGGGAGGGAACTCCTATCACCGACGACAAGGAACACCAAGTGTTTCATTTCCCTTCGGCACCCAGTGCCGAGGTACACCTCCACCATCAACATCAAAAAACGAAGAAAAACACCAAATGTTTCAAAGAAGACCCCTCGGCACCCAGTGCCAGGGATACGCCCTCCTGTCAACTTTCAAACACCTGTTGGAAAGCGCCAAGCGTTTCCTTCGAAGGCCCTCCGGCACCCAGTGTTCCTACAGAAGACCCTTCGGCACCCAGTGCCAGGGGTACACATCTCCACCTTCAAACATCATAAAGGAGAACACCAAGTGTTCCCCCTCGGTACCAAGTACCGGGGGTACACATCTCCACCATCATCATCGAAGAGAAGAACACCAAGTGTTCCTACAGAAGACCCCTCGGTACCAAGTACCGGGGGGCTACATATCGAGACTAACACCAAGTGTTGTTTCTAAAGTCGTACCCCACGAGGACGCATATACCGAAGGCGCCACCATCGGTGCCGGCGGCACGTAGTGCCCCCGGCCATTTGCAACTAGTGTGCAAATGAAAACCCTTCCTTGAAACGCTTTCCGCGTCACTACCCCCAGGGTATGACAGGCATGAGAAATGCCCAGGATTCGACTTTCAAAAACGGAACGCTTTCCGCGTCATCACCCCAAGGGTATGACAGGCACGAGAAATGCCCAGGATTCGACTTCCAAACCGAAACGCTCCCCGCGCCACCACCCCAAGGGTGTGGCAGGACACGGACTATGTCTAGCGCCGAGGGGACGACTTTCAAAAATGAGGCGCTTTCCGCGCCATCCCCCAAGGGGAGGCAGGTTACAGACCACCATATCTTGTGCCCAGGAAACGACCCTCGATCCCCTCGGAACTCGGAAGGTTAACCCGAGGGAGGAGAGCCATTGGTGTATTCTGATGGTCTCCTGATAGGCCCAGCCTTACCAAGAAACCAAGTTTCTTGATGCCTTCCCTTCACCACCAACCAAAAAAAAAGGGGGTGAGGGGAAGTAGACTCAGCGAGAAATCAAAGAGAACACTCCAACAGATCACAACATGCCGAGGGCTCCCCACGGGAACACCTCCGGTAATTGAAGGCTCCTATTTCCCGAAGGATACTACTCAAACAAATATCGTCAAGAAATGGCTAAGTCCACTGCTTGGTCACCTCCGGTCACACAAACACCGAAGGCTTCAACAATACGAAGGGACTGGACTGTCCAAAGTCCACTGAACGGCACCTCAAACAAATACCGAGGGCATCTGTTATGCACTAATACCGAGGGCCCTTACCCCATGACAAGGGACACGACTGGCTAAGTCAAACTCAACAACTTTTCAAGTGAATGCCGAGGGCACATACTCCTCATCGGCTTTCTTTACAACAACAGGATTCCACACTTTTCCTAAGTCCACACTTTTGGAAAATGACAACAACCGAAGGCATCTATTACAAATCATCAAAGGCCATCCGAGGGGGCTAATTCCAAAATATTTACCCCTCGGACAGACTCCTCATTGATCGAAGGTTCAACATCTACGACACACTTTGAAATTTTTCTAAGTCCCACATATTTGTCCCTCGGTCAAATACTCATACAACACAAGGGCCTCCCAATCACCCGAAGGGTCCTATTCATATACCCGGAGGGATCTAAGTCCGGAAGCTCAACATCAATTCACGTTTAGAAAATATTCTAAGTCCTAAATGAGTAGCCCCCGGGCATCTCGCAAAAGTGACGCAGAGTCAGAGGGCACCTATCACCCGAAGGCGGCACAAGGGAGCAATGCTTAGAAAAAAAATCCTAAGTCCTAAAGATTGGCCCCCCGGCCCAATCAATATTACAGCTAAGGGAATAGGATAGCCAAAGGCTATGCGGTACAACGGCACTTAGAAAATTTTCTAAGTCCTACATACTTTTCCCTCGGTGAACTACTCATACACCAAGAAGGGATGCCATCGCCCGAAGGCTCCCAAGGGAAAAGCTACACTTAGAAGTCTCTCTGGGTCCTACATATTTCACCCTCATCTCAACTCATGAAGGGACCTAATAGCCGAAGGCTACCTATCAATAAAAGGCTACAGTACACAAGGAGTCAACACTGAGAAAAATTTCTAAGTCCTAAAGATTGCCCCCCGGCCTAATCAACATTTCAGTTGGGGCTCCACAGTAGCCGAAGGCTACAGGACACACTACATTTGCAAAAATTTTCTAAGTCCCAATGACATGGCCTTCGGGCATCACTAAACCACCATACATTCATACGTGAGGAAAGCATAAAGGAGAAGGCATACATTCAAACAGAGGGCGCATTCAAATATGAAAAACCCGAAGGCAAACATTCATCAATCGGCAAAAAGAAGAGTAAATGTGATAGTTACAAAGGTGGCCGGGGCCGAAAGCATAAGAATGTGATCATTACAAGTGTGTTCAAATTACTGAGTATAAATTACAAATTAAACAACGTCATTTCCGGGGGCCACCTCCTCCGATGGCTTCGAAGTAACCTCTGCATCGGCCTCAGGTTCGTCACCCTCGACTTCCTTCATGAGCTCTGTATCCTCTATGTCTGGCCTCTCGACATCGGAGGGGAGAGGAACGCGGACGTCTGGCTGCAGGGGGGAAGCCCGCATGCCGCCGAGTCGAAGTCCTTTGGCTCAATCTTCAAGTAGCGAGCCATCCTCCGGTAGATGAGGGCTTGGGTGAAAAACTCGCCCCCATCATAATATTGTTTACCCTTTCGGGAAACCCACTCCACACCCGGCCCATCGCACCACTCGTCAACCGAGGACTCGACGACCGAGGACAGCCATTGCTTGTGCTCCTCAGCCCGCCACCCCCTGCCAAGAACCCCGAGATGGCGTCCCCTCGGGCTCTCTCGACGGCTTCCACCTTCGCGGTTTCGGCCTCCCTGGCAGCTCTCTCCAAAGCCTCAGCTGCGGACCTCTCAGCCTCCGCCCTGCCCTGATCTGCGGCCTCCGCCCGCAGGGTAATCTGCCGAAGGCTCTCCTCCAGCATAGCCATCTGCCAGACGACATCGGAATTCTGGTGGACGAGCTCCCGCATCTTGGCGTCCTGCTCGGCCTGGCGAAGGCGCCACTCTTCTAGCCGCCGGGCCTGCTCCCCGAGGGCAATGCAGGTCTACAAAAACAAAGGAGTTAGCAGGGCCGAACATGGCTACCTAGCTCAAAGTAGAGAAGAAAAATATAACTATCGGAGACTTACCGTGAGGGAAGACCGGAGGATCCTGTCCTCGAGGGCTTGATCTTCATCAGCCCCGAGGGCTACTCTGTCAATCTCGAGGGTTATGCCTCTCAGAAGCGCCCTCGGGTCAGCCGTGCCGTTCATTACGGCCGTACCAGCCGGGAGGGAAACCATAAGGACCTCGGAAGATGGCCCCCAGACACCCGACGGCACTTTCGCCACCGGCATCTCCTCGTGCGCCCCGGAGGCGGGGCATTCATCAACAATGATCACCGGGGGGACTTTCTTCCCGGCATCCCCGGTCTTGGGCTTCTTGCCCTCGGGATCTCTGCCCGTGCCTTTCCTCTTGGCGGCGGCAGTCGCATCAGCACTTGGGGCCGCCGATGGCCCCTCCGGCTTTTTGAAAAAATCACCGGCGGGTTTCGGGACACCAGCGTCCGTCCCCCTCGGGGCCTTGGAAGGTTTTTTCTTCTTCAGATCCGCAAGGCCTTTGACGTTCATCATTTTCACTGGGATACCTGCAAAAATAGTATGAGGTTAAAATCGAGGGGTTACTAACCGAAGGCACAAGGAATAAAAGAACGAACAGATAAACTATGTGCTAAGATATGAAAACCAAGGGCCCTCGTAGACTACCTCCTGCTCCCCCGAAGGCCTCAGCAAAACCGGGATACTTCTCGTCCGCTTCCCCAATGAAGCAGTATCTCCGAAAGCCGAGGGCGTAGAGTTCCTTGTCGGCAGTGTGATCTTTAATAGACACTTGCTTCGTGCGACCCTCCGGGATTTTGGCTATTATCAGGCCATCTTTCTCGAGAGAGGCGCTTCCAACCTTCGGATGCCGACGGAAGCGATCCCGAAGTTCCGCCGGAAATGGGTTCTCGGCAACTCTGACGTAGCACCAACGCTCCTTCCAGCCCTTATTGGACGAAGGCGCCTCTGTAAATAGCTTCCACCTGGCTATCTGCTGCAGGTTGGCGAAGCCCTCGACATTCGCATGACCCCCTTGGCAGAGGTTGAAGCTCTGGAAGAACAAGTCCAGGCTGTGGGTCACCCCTCGGACCCTGCAGAGGCTCAAAAAACCCGCCACGTAGGAGTGGCTATTAGGTGTCAGCTGGCAGGGGACCAAGCCAACAAACCTAAGGTACTCCCGGAGGAAGGGGTGCAGAGGGAACCGAAGGCCCATGGAGACCGACAGTACGTGTACTGCAATACACCCCTCGGGCGCCCGAGACAGCACATCGTCAACTCCCGGCTCGACCACCACGGCCGAGGGCCCTACGTGTAGCTGCGTGACGTAGAGATCCGCCCTGTCCGCCTTCGACTTTATCTTCAAGGCAGCAGTGTTGAGCCAGGAATACCCCTCCGGCAAATCTATGGGTTTCCCCTGATCGGCAGCAACAATCTTCTTCTTGGGGGCAGCTACCTTGGCCTTCTTCTTCCCGGGGGCCACCCGGATGGGAACTGCGTTCAGCGGCTAAGAGGTACTGGCCTCACCAGCACCCCGAGGGGGAAGGACGGCCACGGTCACCCTCGTCCTCTCCTTTGCTTCCTCCTCCTCTGCGACCTGCATGGCAAGGGCCAACTCTTCGTCTTCCACCTCCTGCTCGAAGCCTTCGGCTTCAACTTCAGCTAGCAGCTCCTTCTGCACTTCTACTGCCATCGCAACGTCCTCCTGGGCCGAGGACTGTGCACTGGAGGACCCCACATCCGAGAGGACTTCATCCTCCATCGAGGGCGCCCCCGAGATGTCTTGAGAATCACTCTGGGACGACATTATGGCTCTAGCTCGAGGGCTCGGGAGAACTAAGGTTTTCCTAGAAAATTCTATCTCCTAACCTAAGGGCACAAGGCACAGCTAACTAGAGAGGTCAAGGGGAAGTGGAGAACTGACCTTGAGAACAAAGGATTCAACCGGGGGCTGCCGTTTCTCTCTCTAGAAATTTTGGCAGAGCTTCGCTAAGGATGTTGGATGCGTAAAGGAGGAATGGCATTGGCTTGGGGTATTTATAGGCGCTGGAATCCGGGCTTGGGCCCGGAAACCGGGCCTCCGGACGGACCGTCATCGTTACGCACCGTATTTTCACCCAACCGGTGACACCGCCCACGGACAGCCGACCGTCACGCGCCACGTGTACCCCCCCAACGGCTATAACCTGACGTTACATATTCCAACGGCTGTATTTCCAACGGCTATATTTCCAACGGCTATATTCTGGAAGCCCCCGGGTTTTCTACTTCACTCCACTTCATCAAGGAGAGCCTCCGGGTACACTTACCCAGAGACGCCCCCGGATTGTGCCCCACACGGCACATAACAGACGCCTTCGGGACCACTCCTTCAGAAGCCCACGGCTTCATGACAGGCCACCCCTCGGGGATTCCCCCTCAGCACCGTAAAGGCCGGTTAGCCCCCGGGGAGTATACCTCATTGACGGATAGCCTACAGCACACAGGTAATGGGAGCCCTCGGTACCTTCATCACCAACTAATCAACAAGCAGGGGACCCCCCGGTGACAACTCAACTACTGCCCTCATTCATCACGCCCTCGACCCCCCGGTACCTCCCAAAGACATCAACAGCGTGCCTTCGGCAATACAACAAACATGCCCTCAGACTATGAGAGCCTTCGGCATCAACATTTCGCTTCATTTCAGACCAAGGCTTTAACCTTTTTGATTCATCCTTGGGGGAATTCGGTGCACTCTTTTTCCCTCATTAGGATTTTTTCCCACAGGGTTTTTCCTAATGAGGTTTTTAACAAGGCATCCCCCCAAAATGAAACGAAGTGCGTCAGCCTTCGGCACACAACAGCAACGCAACCACTCTACTCCTTTTCACCACTTTACAAGTGCCTCAAGGAGTGGGGGACTGGAGGACCCCCTCGGGAAAATCACTAAAAATACAAAATGGTGAAAATTTCCAACAAACGGCAAAGCAAGCCCTCAAGTCCCGACATGTGGGTAACTGAGGGACTGCCTTCGGCAGGGACATGAAAGCAACAGCTCCTCACCAACTTCAGAGATTACAATGGGACAACATCAAGGAGCAAACACAAATTACTCCTTTTTCCCTCAAGTACCTTTCGGCAAAAGGAGTGAGGGACTCCTGATGGAGTATATGGCCCGGGAAACCCCGGCCCACAGACTCCTACTACTCCAGTAAAGGCCCAACAGGCCCAAATCACAGTGCCCAGAGTACCAAGCAGCCCGCAATACGCACCAGGGGTGCCTTCGGCCCCCTGGCCGAAGGCTAAAACTCTCACGGAACGGGTTTCTCGATCAAACTAAGAAACTGGGGGAAAACGGCAGAAAACAGTAGCCCTCGGCACCTGGAGCCCTCGGCACTCAGGGGTCCTCGGCACTAAGATCCCTCGGCTAGTCCTCTGCAGCCGAGGGCACCTCTCCCGACATGATATCCGCATCACATGCGTACAGATCACCGTACCCTGTACAGATGTCCCATCCAACAGCCGCATTAAATGCGGCCACATGCGGCTGCCAGCGCCAACCAAATGAGGTGACCTCTCGGCCAATGGGTGCTTGATACGTGTCCCTGTCCGGCATTTATTGCTACTATAAATAGCACCCCATTTCCCCATTTGTAACCACGCTGAAGACGCTCCACACTTATAATATACTTTCTCTCTCTATATTTATTTGCTCTGACTTCTCTCTTGTTACTCCCCGTAATAACCCCTCGGATAAGCTACCCCCCGGGTACACTATCCATCAGCTGCTAAGACTCGATGCGCAACGTACAAGATGGAAGATGGAATAGCTTTCACAGACATGGAATTGTTTGTCATATAATCTATTAAAATTCAGCTGAAATTTGTGGATTTTAAAATCGAAGTTAGTGTAGTGGTGTGGAACCTATGTTGTGAATAGGGGTGGTTCGGTACGGTATACCGAATATTTTCTCTCATACCTTTACCGTACCAAAACTTTCGGTATGTAAAATTTATATACCGTTACCTTACCGAAGTTTCGGTACACCGCATTTCGGTATAGCGAAGTTTCGGTTCGGTAATGGTACGGTATCGGTAAATTACCATGCATATCTCCCAATACAACAAATTATCATAGACTAACGAAATATGCTAAATCGGTGTTACTAGTGACATATTTATTTCATTATTAAAATTTTACAAATATAATTAATAATCTATTGATGTCATACTCAATATTGAACAATAATTATTATTAGTATATTTAAGCAGTTCAACATGCCACGTATTAAAAAACAACACATTCTCCTAAAATAACTTGAACGATATAGATATAATAAATCAATAGTGATCTCTAACAATAATAAATAAAATTATTCAAACAACATGGATATAAAATTATTTATTCCTAATACTACATCTGTCCCAAAATGTTTAGCCAAATCTCAAAATTTGGACCATGGTTTTGATTAGTATAATATTATGAAAGTTATAAATTTTATACTTTTATGAAAGTACTTTGAACAAAGAACATTTTCATATAATTTTTATATTATAAATAATTTCCAATAAATATATATTATAATCAATGTTTTGGATTTGACTAATCATTTTGGGTTGGAGGTAGTATGATATTGTGCATTTAGTCATTTTTATATTTTATTAAAAAATGAATAAGACTTTCGGACAAAGTTGTGTGCCTCGATTCGTGGAATCCCTAAGTAGATACACCTGTCACATAAATGTACCTCTCTCCACTCATCAGCTACTCAGCGACTCAATCATCGCAACTCACAAGCTCTTGGAACAAGATGAACTTGTTTTTGGACATTAGTACATTACTAATTAGTCATAGGAGATTTGTAACCAATGTAAGTATTAATGTTGGGCTTCATAATTGTAATGGAGTTTTACAATACTCTAGAATTAAAAGTAATAATTGTTGGGTAGGGAGTCGGTACGGTATTATACCGGTATACCGTGGTATTTGAAAACATTTACCGTTACCGTACCGAAATAAATCGGTACGGTATGATACCGTACCAAAAATGACGTTATACCAATATTCCGGTATATGTCGGTATTTTTCGGTATGGTAAGTGCGATATACCGATTTTCCGGTATTTTTGTTCACCCCTAGTTGTGAATACTTTTTCTGAACATTTGAAACATTTTTTTACACACCTAAATTAAATGGTTATTGGTACTCCACATATGTGATAGCCATATATATAGAAAATTTCTGATGCACCTCCCGGTCCAAACGTCGTCTGAACATCGCGGTTTGGGATGGTTCGCGGTGGAAGTGTTTCATAAACTTTTTTGAGCATGTTCCTCATCAAGTCTAGTTTATCCATACCAAATTTCAGCTCAAAATTCGATCGGGAAGGCAGTCAAATAATTCGTTGAAGTTAACTGCGTTTTTCTATGTATAATTTGGCGCAGTAAATTCAACGAATTATTTGATTGCCATCCTCATCGAGTTTTGAGCTGAAATTTGGTATGGATAAACTAGACTT